TTTGATTTTAAAATTTTCGGTAAAATATGCCCAAGACAATAACCGCCATGAACTCTCGTTGTCAAAAAATGAACTTTTAAATTTTGTAGGCATTTTATTGTTCTCGGGTTATTGGTCTACTGATGAAGACAAAGTAATTGATCTTATAAAAAAATGTAGGAGCCGCAACAGATTCCAATTGATAAAGCAAAACTTGCACTTATCTGACAATAATCTGTGGGATAAAAATGATAATTTTTCAAAAGTTAGACGCTTCTTTGATGTAATAAATAAAAAAAAAATCTTCCGTTTGCCATATTTTGGTTCAACTTATCCATAGATGGTCCATGGTCCATGGATCCACAAATGGTACCTTACTTTGGCCGCCATTCCTGCAAAATATTTATAAGGGATAAGCCAGTTCGTTTTAGCTTCAAACTTTGGTGCCTTTGTTCATCTGATTGGTGCTCAAAATAAACCTCATTCCGACCTTGGTCTTGGCGGTGACGTTGTCATGAGTCTACTTTCTGTTGTAGACAAGCCAGTAAATCACCAAATTTTTGTTGACATTTTTTTTCATCATTCAAACTCTATGTACATTTAAAAACTAATGGTAATTTTATCACCGGTACTATCCGGGAAAATGCAACAAATAAATGTCCAATGGAAAATTGTAAATCAATTAGAAAAAAAGACCGCGGATCCTATCTTTCAGCATATGAATCTGAATCAAAAATTTCTATTGTCCGTTGGCACGACAATTCAGTTGGGACTGTGGCAAGTAATGTTTCTAGTGTAGATCCTGTCCAAAATGTAAAACCCTATAATAGAAAAGAACGGAAAGATGTAAATATACCCCAACGTTATGTAATTACAGTAGGTACAGGGGTAGATTTACATGACAACGGAATTGCTAATTACAGGTGCCAAGTATTTGGAAAAAAATGGTGGTGGCCTTTATTTTGTGTAACTGACTAGATAGTTTAGTGGTGAATGCATGGAAATTGTATAATATTGTCAACGAACAAAAGATTTCCCAGGTAGATTTTAAATCTTACATTGCTTTGCGACTTTTAAAAACTGATAAATCAATTACCCAAAGAAATTTTGCACCCGCCATAGATGAAGTGCGTTATGATAATCAAGGTCACCTAATGATTGTTCATGTTAATAAAGCTACAATCTGCACAGCCACACAATTTACGTTTGTAATAAGTGTAATGTGCATGTACATACTTCATGCTTTGTAAAATATCACCAAAAATGAAACCGGGTGTTACCAGTGGTTCGTTCACGCACCATAAAATATTACGCATTTTTTGTACCAATCAGGTTCTATTTGGAAAACAATCTACTTTTAGTTGTTTTCTGTCGAAATGTAATGTATTCTTGAGTGCAACAAAATAAATAATTTCAGAGCAAAAAAGTTTTTTTTATTTTTTTTAATCCTTGGGCTAATATGGGTCTGTGTCATCAGAGAATCTCTTGCGGCTCCCTTCATATTTATGGAGGTTAAGTTCGTCTATCTGAAGGGACTCCACAGCTTTACATTGACATGACAAGTGTCTGGGCGGAATCTGCCTTCAGTTTTTTCCCCTACTCTAGAATAAGATATATAATAGTCCTACCATTATTCTCAGGCCATTCAATAAATATGTAATGTAAAATATTGTACTCGAAAAGTTTATTTCTTTATTCGATATTTTTAGGATATGATTCGCATATTTAATTTATTTCACACCAGACAAAGGGCAAAATTTCACAAAGAATAACTCAACATATTCATAGTGCTTTCATTTTTATTACTACCTATATTTCCCCCGACACTTTTAGACCATATTTTCTTGACATATTGAAAATTCCCATATTTTCCCGAAAGTTTGTGGGTAAGTGTATTACATTGAAATAACTATTAAATTAAAATTAAAGTAAAATAAAAGTTGACACCAAATGATGGTTCATTGTACACAATTCATTCGTAATAGCACACTGTGGTCATTATCAAACAGTGGTCAACTTTCAAATTTGCATCAATGCTGGGAATCAATTGTTAGAGTTCAGCGATATATTTACGCTTTTATCCGCTTACTTATCGGCACCATCAAAGTGAAGTGAACAACTTGGCAACGTGCCGCTTTTAAAATGCCCGTTCTAAGGTTGAAAAACAATCAACCACCAGCCACTTATGTTGAAAGAATTAATATTAATAGAAGACTTGAAAAACAACACAATATCAAGACACATAACTGCTCTTATATCAAACCCCAATTTCGTTCAGAAGGATTTATTTAATTGGATTTATTCGTTCGGCCTAAACAATCGGACAATAACATTGTTTGGCCTATATGTTCCTAAGGAATTAGTTGCAAGGGATTAATCCTTAGAAGTTAAACTACCAGGTTTGAAAACGGAAACTTTTTGCATTGGCGCTAGATGCTAACAGATAACAGATCATCAGTATATTATGTTATTCTGTACGAATGCAGTGGTAGGCACAAAAAACTGTAGATGAATAATTTTTGGAAAAGCTGTTAACTTCGTAACAATGCTCACATGAAGCACTGGCAGAAATAATACAATTAGAAAAGAACGGATTATAAAATTAGGCGGTTGTTATATCAACACGATTTCAATTAGTATTCGCGCTCGTTTGAATGGTTTTTGTGTGATAAGGCAACAAAACAATAAGAATGTTCATTCACAGTGATTAAAGTAGAACACCGAACGCCGTTACGCGGAAGCTACAGCTCAATGCCGATCTGGCTTTAGCTATTGTGCTTCATCGTTGTTTTCCTGTGCCTTGGCCTCGAATCGTTTAACGGCGTTACTGAAAATGTAGTGCTAATTCCGTTTTCCGGAACTGCCTGTGCCTACGATTATGTTGGTCATTTTATTGTTTTCTCACATTAATAGATATATAGATGACTTGCTGGAAGCACACGTTAATTTTGTAACGATGTCGAGCCAATCCAAAGACAGTATCGTTAGTTCGAATCGAAGGGCGCGGTTGACATCAGATCTAGTAGTCCCCTTTCAAAACGGAAAGTTTTCTTTTGGCACGGGTACGGCATCGAAAGAATCCATTTGATTTTTGTTGATATAAGTTACCTATATTAAAACCACTTGTTTTTTTTATTATTTTTCGAAATAGAGTTTCAGCAGCGACTTATTTAGTAACTTTTTATTTATTTTAGGCACTTAATATTGAACTAGAAAAGTAACTTAATTTTCTTAATTTGATATTTCTAGGATATGATTCACATATTTAATTTTTTTAACACCAGACCAAGGACAAAATTTCGCAAAGAATAAGTAAACATGTCCAGAGTACTTTAAAAAATTATATATCGATTTTATTGCTACCCACATTTCCCGGGCACTTTTAGAACATATTTTATTGGCATATGGAAAATTATATATTATTTTCCCATACGTATGTGCGTAAGTGTATTAAATTCAAATAACTAGTAATTTATATTAATGTGGATCAAAATAAAAGTTGACACGAAACGAAGGTTTATTGTACACATTCGTAACGGCACACAGTTCAGTTCAGCTAGAGTTCAGTAACGAGTTAGTGGTATTTTTAAGCTTTTATCAGCTTAATTATCAGCACCATTAAAGCCGTATATATGTGGCCAAACGTAAAGTGAACAACTTGCCAACCTCCAGTTATTTATGCTCAAAGAAAGAATTGATGCTGGTTACAACATACTAAAATATGCCTGGCTTTAAGCTCTGTATATCAATATAAATACATTTCTGATAAAAGATGAAATATGAAACAACCAGCAAATATCAATATCACAAAACAGAAATCATTTCACTCTTCACAAGAAGACTGGATATTTATAAGCTTCTAAGGAGGACTAAAGACTAGAAAACTAAAGTTTGAAGAATACTGTAGAAACTGACCATCAATATTGTTAATTTTGTTTTTTCGATTAAACTGTCTTTGTTTTGAAAGTTAGTGTTTTAAATTAATTTGAACCAACTCCTATACCTCACTTAACAAAATAAGCAAAATAATGCACTTGTCCAAAATAGCATTTATTTGTCCTAAAATATATATAGTATATACTTCTAAAGATTAGTATTTCGTGAATACAGATACCATGATACGATTCGTATAATTAGCCCCTAGTATAAATTTATGACAGAAGCTGAATGCTACTCTCGTAGGGAGACCAATAACGATGAAAGGTCTTGGGGAGGGGGGGGGGGGATAATATGATGGGCGTGAGCGAAACCGCGGAACTCTAATGAGGTGTTATATAACTGCCCTTTTGCCAAATGAAAAAAAATCTGTCACGTAAATTTTAATATATTAAAGCAACACCGGTTTAAATTTGGGCGGCAAGTTTGTTTGATGTTTGATAGCGTATATGCACATGCGCAGTAATTTATCAGCCCTAGAGTGTTTCTAATACATGGACGTTCTGGCTCTATTAATTAGTAATTTAAGTTTCGAAAGTTCGTCACACGGTCTTACTCAAGTTTGATGTCAAATCTCCATTATATATATATATATATATATATATATATATATATATATATATATATATATATATATATATATATATATATATATATATATATATATATATATATATATATATATATATATATATATATATATATATATATATATATATATATATATATATATATATATATATATATATATATATATATATACATTGTGCACCTTGGTATAAAGTTTTCTTTCTTTGTTTTAATAAAATGTGCCACATAAGCATTGCTGCGTCGCTTGTGGCAAGCGTGGGCACGAACATGATTTCAATTAATTTTGCCAAAAAATCTTTGAGCGGATGACTCTCATTTTTTGTATGTCATCGTAAGTTCTTATGAGCGCGTTCCCAGAAAAAAAATGTAGGTCAACGTTCATACTATTAAGAACGCACGTTTATTTGCGCTGTTACTTAACACACACGCGCAAAGAGAAATTGTTCTCAACTAACACTTTCACTTACAAGGCGAAATAAAACGCAAGTGGCACATTCAGTTCGGTTTTATTACAAAAATATCAGCGAGTAAAAATTATAAACTACATTTGACCATCACAGCCTTTTTTGCCTTTATTTTTTACATTTTATTTTTTAAGTAACTAAAAAAACGAAACAAGTATTCTAAAGTAATAATACGTAAGCCTATGAGGTGTGAAAGGCAAAAAAATTGACTGAGAGTCAACGAAACGGCTATCAACCACGAGGTCTTCCAAGTGACCCCTTTAGTATAACCTGGAATAAAACTTAAATGTAACATACGTTCAGGAACATAAAAAATACAGCCGATCAAATTTATAATACTCGAAAAGGATCCTAAAAGTGTTAGATTAATAAATTTTGACGTCTATGGAAATCGGGGAATGTTTGATTGGCTCTTAAGTCATAAACAACACAACGCTATTGAATATTCGCACGTCACTGTCTGTCGCGTAAAACAAAATCGCATCGACGTTGCGCGTGGAAAAGTATTTCAAGGACACTTGGTGCCGAAAATCGCGCTCGTACTGTCAAGTCGATAGAATATCACAACAAATTGTGTGTAAATGAGATTCGTCGTTACTTAACTCCTAGGAAACATAACGTATCACTTACGTAACATAAAAATCTACGGCTAAATGATGGAGATCAACAGTCAAAATCTAAAATTCTCTCAAATTTCGCGGTATTGCTTCGTTTAAATGGTCGCCACTGCTGCCGCGTTTACGCAATCATTTGCGTATGGGCGCCCCAAAATGACTACTTTTATTTATTGAAGGCACGTTTGTCCCGCAGCCGAGATCTCAAATGGAAAAAGGCTAAAAAAACGACGTGAATTGTCATAAATGCAGGAGAATTTAGATTAGAACTATGTAATTGTGATGAAGGCGATTCAATAAATAAAGCGGATGCTGTGGATGATGCGGAGGTCTTTTAGTTCAAATGTAACGAGTGACGTTGGAAACACTCGCGTGGGTGAGGATTCGGAAGCACTTTGAGGGAAATATTTTGATCGCTAACAGTCTTTCAATGATCTTGGCGACTTCCGACTCTGCTACCGCCCCTATGTCGCCGATTACAAAGAAAAGTCCCTCCGTAACCTGTAGAGCATGAGCTCCATGCTGGCCCGCGCGTCCTCGTAGCTGTCGTGTCCCTTTTCGCTGCACTGAATGTCCCGCTTGAGGCAAGACCGTACCAGACTCTTCAGGGACCGCTTGAACGGGAAACCCTTATCGTGGGGAAACGTAAACGTGGTATCGACCACCGTCTTGTGAATCATGCGCAACCCTTTCAAATCGTTTTCCAATGCGTGGCCGATCAACACCGTCTTGCTGTTGATGAGTTTCTTCAAATCGCGCTGGACCTGCTGCAGCGTTTTCGAACGGTTGTTCTTGAAATCGTCGGCGGTTATGCCGGAGAAACGCGTGTTGTAATCGACGACCTCGTTTTTCGGACGCACGTATTCGTTATATATGATTTTGCCCTCCATACTGACCAACGTCACTTTGGTCACTTCCAATCCGGTCACCGTGTAGCTCATTTCGCAATCCAACGCGAACACGCCGTAGTTTCCGTCCTCCGACACGTGCTTCGGTTTCTCCGTCTCCACGTAACTCGAATTCACCAATGGTTCGGCGGGCCCGTTCCAGACGTGCACCTTCGCCTCCGAGCATCCCTTCGAGCCGTTTTTTCCATTGCAACAGGTATACTCCAGGGGTCCGTAGCCGTGGCCGTGGGTTCTGAGCTTTCCCCAATGATACGAGCACGCCTCGTCCGTGATATAGGTGTTCGACGTGGTGTAGAACCAACTTCCGCAACGGACGCACACCCGTCCGTAAAACGGCGTGTTCCTGTACCTGGGACTCGAGTCGTCGGAACTGCTGGAGCTCTCCTCTTCGCTAGAGGAGCCCGAGCATTGACCGGAATCGTTGGAGTCGCTTTTCGGTACGAACTCTTTCGCGTTTATGTCGAAGTGATGCTTCTTGTACATGTAGACCATCTTATCCGAAATTATCGCCCTCTTGTTCGGTCTGGCCGGGTAACCCAGTATGGCCATGTGTTCGGACCGCAAAACGTAGTTATTTACGAGCATTTGCGCGAACAAACTTTCGGATATGTTCAATTTTTTAAATTCTTCCAGCGGCTCGACGTGATGGGCGGCAACTTTCGACTTGCACTGGTTCGAAACTTTGGTTTTCGTCGGTTTCGGCGGCTCTGCGGGGGTAACGTACTTGGGCTCTCGTTTCCGGTTTTTACGCTGCCGCCGGGATAGCCCCTTCGGAAGAAGCGGACTGTGCTCCGCCGAAGTGGGTCGGCTATTTTCTTTGTTCGACTCGGAACTGGACGAGGACGTGCTTTCGGTGGTCGACATGCCGTCCGGATCTGGATCTTCTGTACAACAAAAAGCATAATGTCAGCACTTTTGTTTCCAATACACCAGCAACAAAACGCAAACATACAAAACACACCCACTGAAACAAAGTCTATAGTCTGACACTCGCGAATTATATTTGCATTCAGTTTGCAATCCACGTGAGCCGACCACGTAGTTACCTCATTGATGCTCAATAGTATAACGTTCTTTATAGAATTTTCGGCAGTTATTTAGACGATTACTGCCACAAGAAGCATTATTGATTAATAACTATTACTAAATACGAATATTTTAGAACAGTCGAAACTATAAAGATGTGGTCTAAGGAAGGAAAAGCTGTTATTCAGTTTTCAAAGCAATAAAAACTTATAACACTGTGGGTTTTTTTACGCTTCCAGTTTAAAAGATGTTGATTCTCGCATATGACTTTTAAAATTATTGGCAACTGAATAATTCATTATAAGAACTGCACTAGTAAATAAGACTAATGAGAAATAAACAACGATTCCATTTTTAACAGCAAAGAACATAAATTTTTCATGGCGCTGAGACGTCACTTCTAAAAATAGAAAAAATCGATCACGATCATTATTTAATTCACATCATTTTCAACTAACGTATTGTCAATGAAATACCCTGTGGAATGCACAAATGCGTCAGTACTAATGATGTGGAATTTAAAATAACCCAAAGAACAATACGAGGGTTACCTTTTATATTTCGGGATTTGTAATAAAAAACTATAAGCTGCCAACAAATATGACTTTGTTGTCTCTCAAAATATTCACAATCTGATGATCATTACACTTTTGCATTCGATAAAACCAATCATCAAAGCACTTTTTCCACATCGATTCGGGCACCTTCAAAACGTGCTTTTTAAACGCATCAATCACTTCTTCTGATATCAAAAATCGTTGCCCATGTAATTTATTCTTAATGTATGGGAATAAAAAGAAGTCATTAGGTGCTAAATCAGGACTATATGGTGGATGGCCCATCAAGTCAACGTTTTTAATGCTCAAAAATTGGTTTGCACTGATCGGTGAGAGTTAGCATTGTCGTCGTGGAGAGTGATTCGTCTTCGGCGGTTGGTTTTTCTAATTTCTTCGAATACTTTCGGCAAACAAATGGTTGTGTACCATTTAGAATTGACTGTTTTACCTTTCACCAAAGAAGCAGTTGTAACGTGGCCAGTTGTCCTGAAAAACAGGCTACCATTTGTTTCGAGGTGCTTCACGCACGTACAACTTTTATGGGCTTTGTCTCATTTTGAAAGACCCACACGGTCGACTGCTGCTTACTTTCAGGTTCATAGTATGGATCCATGATTCATCACCTGTCACGATATCATAGACGTCTTTGGAAGAACCGCGACAGTATTTTTTTAGCATTTCCTTCGACCAATCAACACGAGCCTTTTTTTGAGCTGGTGTAAAATTGTGTGGACTCCAAAATTGTATGTATGCTGGTCTGACCAATGCCCAAAGCTACCTCAATCTCGTGGTAAGTCACATGACGATAATGCAAAATTAGTTTCCGCATCAATGTTTTCTTGGACAACTGCCGATTTTGGACGACCTTGACGAAATTCATCCTTAAGAAAACTACGACCACGACTCAAGTCCGAAAACCAGCGACAAACAGTAGTCCTAGATGATGCTTTAATTATAAAAGTAGAATTAAGTTCATCGATGCATTGTTGTTAAGTTAGTCCACGTCTAAAGTATAAATTAAGTTCCATTTTTAACCGTCACAATTTTTTTAATATAACACAAACAACACGTTTTTGCCAAAACCTAACTGAGTAAACCTAACCTCAAAATGTCGAACTTCCCTATAAAAACGTTAGTCAGCCAGCTAGTTTAAGAAAATCTCGAAATATAAAGGCAGTCCTCGTATAAAAAATTGGAAAATCAAGCCGGTGCCTATCAGTAGTTATGAAATATTTTTTGCAAACGAAATCCATTTCCTATTCCCTCTAACCTCCAATAAAACCCTTTAAGTTTACAAAAGCTTTTACCAAGCATTATTATCCAATGTTTTGCCCATTCTGCACATTTTAAAACTAACCACCAGACGGGGAACCGTTATAGCTTACGATTTTGCCTAATTTTTTATTGTTTTTTGTTTTCGATTTTATTATGAAAGGGTAAGCTCAAAATTGCTACTATAATAAAATATTAAATAAAATATCTGAAATAAATAATGCCTAATAAACTTCATTAATAAAATATCTGCTTGCTAAAACTTAGTAATCTAATCACCATTCGTTTCCTACAAATTGATACTTTTTTAAAAATGGAAAGGACACCTTTAAAAGAAATTAAGTAATTTTCTTAAAGGTTTTTATTTGCATTACTACTTATTACTACTTGCTTTAACACCATGAAACAATTTTCAATGAGATTTGCTAATAGAAACAAAAACATAAATTGTGCTGCCATACTCTATTGCGGTGGTAATAGGGTGAAAAAATAAAATACATTTAAAAGACGGGCAAAAATTATCAACAAGAAAAAAAGAAATATCGAATAGAAAGTTGTAAATAAAACTAGGAAAAAAACGAATAAAATGCAAAAAACGCTGAAAAGTCACTTAAATGAAAACTTACTCAATTTTTAAAGGCAGCACTAACTTTGATAATAGAAACTAGTCGTCCAAACGTATTTACCAACTACGTCTTTAAAATTCACTCGAATCGTCACCAACATCAACGCATCGGAGGCCTAATTGAATGGAATTTACATAATGCTACCGCCATTAGTGAAAATGGCGTCTCAATAATCTGCCCGAAGAAAATAATAAGGTAAGTACTACAATTCGCAGATACGGCACGCGTTCGCCCCACCGAGAAACCAGCACAGATAAGAAATTACGGTGACGTACGAAAAAATGTTTGAAAATTCCTGAATCATTAATTCTGACTGTGATTCATTCGGTTGTCCCGATAACCGAATGTCGAGAAGTCGTTTTGTTTATTTCTCAGATATATTTTATATAGCTTACGAATCACAACACGCTGTCCAGGTTGTTGGGAAAATGAACTTCATAAATCCGAGGGCTTACAAAAGATTAACAGTTATGATGATGACTCATGAATATTGGACAGAATCTTTAAACTGGAGATAGTAGACATAATAACATTATGATTGAGGTCAATCGAGAAAGTTTTAATTTTAGATGTTTTGACATGAGAATTACGAATATGAAACTTATTTGGATGTTGCTCATAGAGGGTACCAGTTTCACAATATTATCGAAGCACTTTTTTATCTGTTTGTTTAGGCCGTTTACATCTGTCGGTTTTTTCTTATTTGGATTTAAAAGTTGAAGATATTTTCAGTTTTTTCTTTATAAATTCTTAAAAGATGTACAGTGAGCAATAAAAAACTAATATTTAAAAATAACAATTTGGGTGATAACAAAAAAAACCGTCAAATCAAATGTTGGAATTTTTCACTAACTACCTAAATACATTTGACAATACACAATGATGTGGCTATTTTCTTCTAAGCAGGTTTCTATCAGCATTTGTCAAATTTACAAGTCATTAAGTTTTGGTTAGTTTACGTGCGTGTCACCACTTTTACGGACGTTTTAACTGGTAATCAACTTTTTTCAAATCTTCACAATCGCTTATGAATCACCATGTATATACTTACACAAAGTTACTCGAACTTTTACAGCAATTTTTGATGGTGGGATGAGAGAGAGTATTTTAGCAAAAGCCGACGTTTGCTATTAGCCAAGGTGGCCTAATTTTTGGCCGCTCCATTATGATTACCAGGTTCCGACTTACTTAATTTTATTCTATGCATGTTTGGCTTATGTTTTAACTTTGGTTAGCGCGATGTTTCCGCGACGACCTTCGAGTCTATTTTCGCCAGACATGTAATTGGTAGGTACCTAAATATTCCGTCAAACCGATCGAAATCAGTGTACTATAGATAACTACATACTATTACGCTAATTCCAAAGAAAAGCAAAAAACTAATAAATTTGCTGTTGTTAGTAATGATCAAAAATTAAAGGGGCAACGCTCGAGCTCAAAAAATTCATAAATGCTTCAACAAATGTTTACTATTCGTTAACTAGAAAAACATTCCTGACAGGGTTACCATTTAAAAAAAGAAAGAAACCCTAATTTGTTTAAGAAACTTAATAAGTATTATAAAAACTTAATTAAAATATCTTTTTATTCTTTTCAACTTTTTATTTATTTATTTTTATTTCAGTATTTTTCCTGGACATTGTGCGCCAGAAGCGCGAGGAAATCTGGCAACGCGGCGCCCGTTTCGCGTGACAAAAAATTACGCGATTGGTCGCGATAAAAAGGCATGGTAAACCGCTGTCCAATGGGGACCCGTCTCGGTTTATGAATGAGAAAACATAATCGGCGGCGCTTCTGGAAATTTGCCACGAAAATCACTTTAAATATAGCCGCGTTGCGGAAAATTGACGACACTCGCCAGCTGAGCCGGTAAACATGTTGCGACTATATCTGTGGCGTTGAAAACAATACTCTATACCTACCATTGCGCAATATGTTTGCGTGCATCCCTGTTAAAAATAACGTCCAATCTCATAAAATATAAACTCCTTACGGTCAAACTTAAAACGCACCCAAAACCAAGTCACTCATAATTTAAATGGCTGTTATTTGCAAAATGCCTAGGTAGAGTTCTTCTAACAATATACCGCTTCTATGGTTTTGACTTCGGAATGAATTTAAGACCCGACTGCGGAAGGGACCATTCTTTTCAGCACATGTACCACAAACCACAAGGTGTTAGCCAACAAGAACCGCTATGCGGACTGTTGTATTATAAGAGTAGGGAAATTTTCTATGATTAAACTGTTCCATTTTTTTCCATTTCAGTGTACTTTTTATAAATCTTCCTCTTCCTCTAAAGCTGATTGTGTAGACAACGCTTTGTTGCAACGCAAGTAGCAAAGGTTGACTGCCACGAAAACATGACAGCAGACATCTTTGGTCTCACCGATGAAACTAAATAAATCCGTCAGTTTTCAGCATTTCTATGCACGAAGTACCGACGTACGGTTCTTGAACGTCATTGTCCTATTGCGTATCTATATATTGGGGGTTACAAAGAGAAACCCAAGCGAGGTAGGCCTGCTGTTAGACCTTTATAAAAATTTACCAAAGTTAAATACCGAATTATGTCGTAAAAACGGTATACAGTTTGGAAAACTCTAGTAACTTGTGGTCCACCTATAACTAACTAAAGCTACTTGTAGACATTTTTCTCTAGTACTAATTATGAAATAAATCAAGTAATTAGTTTGCAGCTCGACTGTTTATTGAGTAGAATGATACTGATTAAATTGTTCACGGTTTGTAACATTGCTTGTAGAACAAGGATTGCAGACTGTTTTGTATTAATTGCAAGCATAATCTTTGTATCCTGTCTAAATGAATTAATTGCTAATTTTCGTTGCGAAAAAATGCGAAATCATTTGAATTAATCGCTAACCGGTATTAAATAAAAGCAATATTGTTATTACATTTGCGCCATACTGTAAGAAATAATCGATAAAAAAGAATATAAAATCATAAAGCCTCGTCGCAAAAGAATAACATTTATAATCGATTAATCAAATTAATTACGACAGATCTAAAATGGTCTTTTTCAAATCAAGAAGCTACAACTGCAAAACTGCAACATATACCTAGGAAATGTGCTAATTTTTTTTTCAAAAAAGGAAACTTTTAACAGAGAAGAAAGTCCTGTGACCCCGTTAAGGTAGAGCGTTTTCACCTATCTTCCTTTAAAGTAAAAGTTATAAGGTTAAAATAACATTTCGGAAATATGGCTATTAAAAGTTTTCCCATAAGAAGCACTTTAAAAATAAAAACGAATGATTTCTTAATACCAAAATCTGACGAGCTTTGACATGTTTGTTTGAATGTAAATAGCCCAGCATTGATACTAACTAGTCAATCATCTATTAGAAAATTCTGATCTCATTTGGGATCTCGTACATCTACTTGTGAGCACTCAAAATCTAATGAGCTATCTCTTAAAAGATTGGTTAGTTTTGGTTAGATTGGTTGAAATAATAAAATCACTGATGATCCTAGACGAGGGCGTTCTAAGAATAGGAACTTCACAAGATTTTAAAACCACTCAGGGGCGTGAAATAATCTTAGGGATATTTAAAAAATATCTATAACAATTAATCCGTAAGATGATAATGAACAGCATATCTATTTAATGTTTTCCCGAAATAAATAAGGAATAAAATTCTTTAATTTTTGCATTTTTTGCTTGCTACTTGTTGTCACTTGTAATTTAACACCTAATCCGTAAGATGATAACGAACAGTATATCTTTTTATTGTTTTCCCGAAATAAATAAGGAATAAATTGTTTAATTTTTGCATTTTTTGCTTGCTACTTGTCGTCGCTTGTAATTTATTTTGTTCCCACGGAAAAAGCAATCCTGAACATGGATTTCAAAACGAAAGAAACAAAAAGAATAAAAATTTTCTTGTAGCGAAAATAATTCATAACAAAATTGTAATCCAAATTGGGTTGACAGGGAGAAAGTAACAATGTGCAACTTTTTTTTCAATTATATTAAAAAAAAAAACAAAACTGTTATTCAAAAATTCGATATCCCCAAGCCATGCAACATTATGTTGGACACGCTGCCGTAAAGAAAAAAAAACCGTCCTAAAAATTGTACGGTATTCTCATGCGAGGAGCCTCATATACCAATAGAACAAAAAATATATAAACAAGAAACACTGACCATCCCCACACGATGCCAGGTATTTTCCGTTCGCAGCAAAATCCATGTCGAGGACTCTACCCCCGTGGCCCTTCAAGGACGCCAAAAGCCAAGGGTGGCCAAAAGTTTTTTCTCCAGTTCTGGCGTTTCTTCTACTCTCCCTCTCAGTGAGTTTCTTTTTCGATGCCTGTTTGCTTACGGTTCCGCCTTGATCCTTCTTCTGTTTCCCTGTTGAAACTGCGGAGGAGACGACACTATTTCGTTTGTTATGGACGAGTTTTTCATCTGAAAGTGGACAAAGGACAACATTATAAGATTGACTCAAAATAAATAAAATAGTGAATAGGACTAAAATACTAGCTTCTAAATATAGCTTCTAGTAGCTTCGCCTAGTTACTTCTTGCAAGACAAGATCAGAACCTCACGAGCCTTATGGAAGGCACAAAAAAACTCCAGTCTTTTTTGTGTGGCTTCCATAAGGCTCGTGAAGTTCTGATATTGTGTTGCAAGCAGAGTTTTAGAGTACAATACAAAGAAGCAATGTATCTCTAAACATTTATTATTCGAGTACGCTGATTGAAACCTTTCGGTATTTTCTAATTCAATTTGCATACACATAAATGTTCGATATCGCTTTAATGTTTTGATACCGTTTCTGTCGTTTTGGTTAGTCAATTTTTTGATTCACCAATAATTTATTTTTCTCTTAAATTCAAAAAAGATTAATGTTAAAAACTTTCATATTGCCGATCCAGACCCAATTTTGTTCTCCAAGTAGCGCCTTTTCTGGTAACCAATATAAAAAAAAACATTTGCAAATGGTCCAAACGTTTCTCCCCTTACCAAAAACTCTTCTCTGGTTGCTTACAATATATGTAACCGATTTTTAAAAATTTAAATTAAAAAAAAAAGATGATACGGGCATGGATTTATCACATTTTGGTTTGATTTTGATAACTAATGCCTTCGCTTCTTTCGAAGGACAGATATATCCAATAAAATGTGTTAACTCTTCACCAGCGTTTAGAATGTTTCACCAAAATCGAGTCGATTTCTTGAGATAACAGTAATTGAGTGTTGGAAGAATATCTTTCATCAGGCTTTAGGGTTGAAAATACCCAGAGTGTGATGGCTAAGAATTACGAGGTCGGTTAAAGTACGAAAACCGTTTCCCATTTCTCTACCTAATAATAGTTTGATATTCGAAAAAAAAAAAATACAATTGGGAAAATCGCTTGGTATTTACATCTTTAAAATATTTTTATTTTCCTACTCAACTTTTTTCTAATATAACGGAATCGAAATCCCCCATATAAAAACTATTAAAACCTGACGTCCGACCTTATCTTGGACACAAGGTCTAAAGCAAAACATATTTTTTTAAGATGATCACTACGCTAGTTTTGTCGTTTGCGATTTTTATTTAAAATCGATGCGGTAAATATTATTGAAAAAATATATTATTTTTAACCTATGTGGGTCCAACAGACACACGCATATGACCTTAATTTTAATATTAATTTTTGACAACTTGGTTTTAGGAATTTTATATTCATCCATGACCTAGTCTCCCAATTCTGCTTCGTTATACTTACCCATTATACAATTGTTTACACCCCTACACGTTTTCCTTGTATTTCTTGTATATTTCTTGATCACTAAGAAATATACATATCACAAGCAGGATCAGTTGAATTGAAAAAAGCATGAAATGCTTTTTTAAACGAGTTAATTTCGTAGAAAAGTTGCTATTTAATAGGTTGTTGTAGCTATGGCACCCCCTGGCCTTTCATACTGGAAATACCAAAATATTATTCGCCGACTTAAAGTAATAAAACTTTTTAACGCAAATCTCGACGACGAATAGTTTTAGAGGTACAGTACTCTATATTCTTAACTGGCCACCCTGTTATTACCAGTGGATCCAAAAAAACATCAGTAAAAATCCGCTTCGTCAATTATAATCCTTAATAAAGGTAGAGCCAATCCGCTCGCAGCACGCGGAACCAAACCCGACGAGACAAACCGTTTGGTTCGCGTCGACGAAATCATCGTCCACGTTGGAACTACGTCTCAAAAATATAATTCTAATTTTCTCGGCAATTGCGTTGAACTTTAGATAACGAAATACTATAGACTTTACAACATCGTAATAAGATATAATTGAGTCTTATCTGGCCTTGCAATAGATGAACTGATTTAAGGACCGCGCGAATTTTAACGCAAAACGCAAAGTAACCATTTTACTATCGCCATAATGTACGAGGGATGTTCCCGAAGTGCTGGGAAATGTGCCAAATTACGCGAAACTAATAGGCAATGTTACTGGTGCCAGGCAAGTCTTGACATGTTTATGCAACTATCTAGTGCAATATTGTTCCTGTCTGATTTACGTGTTCAGTTGATGTAGACGCGTTTTCATGGCATTGGTTGTGGGACGACAACGCAAAATTAAAGAGCAATGATTTTCTTCTTAGGGAAAGAAGGTGTGAAAACATCACACATTATCAGTAGATCGATCGTTTTAAAACCGGTAGAGCATGACTAGAAGATGATCCACGCAGTCGGCGCCCGGGATTGTTTTGATATATGTATTCAGTTAAATGGAGCATACGAGGTTAGCGCCAAAATTTCCCGGCCTGACATAGATGCAGATCCAGTATCACGATAAAACTTTGTCTTCTTTTACATATATATCTTAGTAGGCTGCTAAAAAAAATTGAAGTCTTGCGTCAAATAGTTTTTTATTGGGAGCAGTTTAAAAAAGACGTGTCCGAAAAAATGTCGCAAATAACGCAAATTGAGTATAGAGTCTTTGACAAAAGAAGGGTTAGCCCCTAAAAATTATTAAAGAAAGGCTGGATGGTGTGTACGGTCAAAGTTCTCCTTCATATTCTGCAGTGAAAGAATGGAACGTTTTTGAATGGGGCAGGAGTCTCTTGAAGATGATTCAAGAACTGGTCGACCAGTGGAGGTCATAACGGAAGATATTGTTGCGATTGTGGAAGAGGTGGTATTGAATGATCGACGTTTAAAGGTCAAGGAAATCTCAGAAATTACTAAGCTTTCTGATACAAGTGTTCGTCGAATCCTGCATGAGGTATGCATAAGGTTAGTGCAAGATGGGTTCCTAAAATCCTTTCGGCTATTCAAAAACAACGCCGTGTCGAGTGTGCGCGGTCTTTTTTGGAACTTTGTGGGTCGGAACCGAAGCCTGTGATAGAAACTATCGAAAAAAGAATTAATGGAGTGGCGTCGTAAGGGCGAAGCACGTTCAAGAAAATTCAGAGTCTGCCAGTAAACAAAAAAGGTGATAGCCACGATCTTTTGGGATTGTGAAGGAATTCTTTTGATAGATTTTAAAGAAACTAATACCACTGTCAATGATAAAGGCGTCTTTTGCACGATAATGCACCTGTCCATACTGCTGGTGTTGCACAACATGCCATTTTAGAGTGTGGCTTCCAACAGATAGATCATCCTGCCTATAGTCCAGATATGGCCCCCAGCGACTATTATTTGTTTGGATATTTAAAAAAGGACTTATGTGGACGGCGGTTTAACGAGGAAGTTGAGCTAAAAGAGGCTGTTTTAGCTCATTTTGCAGACAAACCAAAAGAATATTTTTTTAAAGGGATTGAGTTGTTAATAAAGAGATGTAATAAGTGTATTGAAGTTAAGGGGGATTATATTGAAAAATAATAAAAAATTGTTACTCTACTTTGTTTCTTTCATCTTCAGGCCGGGAAATTTTGGCGCTGCCCTCGTATATTAAAAACTACATTGTAATATTGACAAAATAATAAAAATTAGAGCTAACTTCCGTTGCTATATCGTACCTTAATATTGTATAAAGCTCGACATCCGTTGGGGCCCAAACTATATCGCGCGCACTATAACAAAATTGCCCAATCGTTAAGACAAATTAGGCGATTGCAGAAACCGAAACGACTAAAACTCAATCGCAAAGAAAATCAATGAGAAGCGAGTCGTGTGCATATTGCTGTCAGGGTCGGTCGAACGTTGTTGCAAAATTTGTTTTAATAACAATAAGTTAAGGCGTCGCAAAGTTCACGGGCATGTCGAGCTGCAAAACAAAGCAAAAAAATATCGGGCACCGGTGCAGTGCGGAGAAGAACTTTTTGCAAACTTTGAATGCGGAACCCGACTTTTGTCACGGTTGTGATCCCTGCGATGTTATGGCCGATAAGAGTAAAAATGTTGAAGCTCGAAATAAATACAGTTTATGAAAATACTTATCCCTATACTGCTTATACCAAATCGGTATAGGCGGTATAGGTATTCTTCTACTTCATGTGCCGTGTCCGTCATCGAACGTTGGCTATCATATGGGGTGTCAAAACTTTATTCACGGCAGCTCTAAATAAGGCTGTACTTGACGCATGGAACCATTCCCGTAAATTTCGAAGCCATGATATTCTTCTCCGACCTTCTGCCCTGCATAATTAAGTAGAGAGCATTATAGCGCTCAGGATGTCGCATCACATGCGCAAAATATTCTAGCTTTCTGGTCTTAATCAATTTAATTATTTCAGCTTTGCCTACCTGCTCAAGCGGAAGGAAATCCATACGCTGTAATCACTTACACGTCTACCGGTTGTTTACTTTTACAATCATACATTTCGTCTTTGAGGTGTTCAGTTTTAGTCAATATTCATTACGCAATCGCTATCGCAAAGCATTTGTAGTTCTTCCGGAGTATTGACTGACAGAACAGTATCGTCAGCATATATTAAGTTATTGATGCTAATTCCATTTATTTTAATCCCTCAATGGAATTTATCAAGAACTTCCCTGAAGATGTACTCAAAGTACAGATTAAAAAGCAATGGCGACATAATGCATCCCTGTCTTACACCCCGGCGAATTACCACTGTGTCAGAGATGTTTTGGTCGAACCTAATATTTGCTCGAAGATGCCAATAAAGGTTTTTAATTATTCGCATGTCCCTGTCGCTGGAGGATTTCCATCAGCTTGTCGTGCCTGACCCTGCCGAAAGCCTTCTCAAAGTCAATAAAGCACATATAAACGGGGTGGTTGACATTTCTGCATCTCTCTGAACTAGAACCTAGATACAAAATAGTGCTTCTCTGGTTCCAAGGTTATTACGGAACCCAAACTGCGTTTCGCTAATTTGTTCTTCAATTTTGATGTAGTCAGAGCATTTCCTCGAGTTACCTTTTTTGGGAAGTGTCACAAAGGTTGATTGTAACCCATCAGTTGGTATGAGTCCGGTTTCATATATTTTGTTGAAGAGACATAA